TTCCTTTTGGTTTTGACCGGCTGCCTGATTTTTGTCATTTCCCTTTTTGCCTTGGTTGATTTTATATTTTTTTTCCCATTTGCGGTTGCAAAGTTTTTCCTTGTTTTTCTTTTTTTTTTGAGCGAAATGTGTGGCAAATTAGTCTGAAGTGTCTCTCCAAAGGCAAATTTATGAAAACTTTGAGGGGCAGATCGTGTAATTTGTGGCACTTTGAGTGGCCAAATTGAAATCAATTAAGTGCGGAGCGGCACGTGTCCGTTTTTAGATTTGATTAGCTTCCTTTTCGGTTAAAGATTCGATTAAAATTGATGGCCTTCAAAGGGAAAACTTGTTTGCCACATTTTCACCGAGTATAACATCAATTTGCCGGCCACAATTAAGAACGACTGGGGGCTAGAATGTATCAATTTGTTTGTTTGAACAAACGATTAAACGACATCCAAAATAGGCACAAAGCATCTGTCGCATCAATTTTCCCATTGAGAAGTGCTTTTCTTGTTGATTTTCCAGCAATTGTGAGGCGACAAATAGCTAATAAGATTTCATTACCCTTTTGAGGCCTAGGGCTCGCTTGCTCCTTTGGTTTAATTGTCACCTGGCCAAGCAAATTGATTAAGTGGAATCTGGAAAGGAGTAGGGCAAAAGAGGCTGCCGGCCATTTTTGGGGTTTTGGTTTGATTACATTTTCAATTTCCGGTGAAATTAGCAAATCATTTGGGTGGCTCCTGGCGGCTGTTACAGGTGGGTTAGTGGTTAAATGTTATTTTCCATTTAATTAAGTGGGGAAATCAGTACTAAGTGAACGTTAATTGATGCTATTAACAAAGGTTTTATTCAAGAAAGATTTGGTTATCTTAATATACGAATTATTTATAATAACATTTTAGCATCGCTGTTAACCCTTTTGCTGCACCTTTCAGCTAATGATATTTCCATAAAGCCTAATCATTTTCAAAGTTGCCAAAACTGAGAGAATTTGCACATAATATTTTGGACTAACTTTTGACCGCCGAAAATGGAGAATGAAAAGTGCAGAGCCGTTCCCAAAAGCAGCAGGCACTTAGAAATGTTGCTCGAAATGGGCTCGAAAAACTTTTGATTTACTGTAGGTAAATGTTATTGTTGCCTGCCGCAGCTGCCACTAAAGTTGTGCCGATGCTGCTGCTTTTGCTGTTGTTATTTAGCAAAAGTTTTCACAGCAAGCTGAGTTAATTTGTATCCACAACTCAATTGCAAAAGTTTAACCGAGCAAAAGATTTATAAAGTTTATATGCAATAACAAGTCGAAAAGGCTTTGGCAGTGGGAAAATCACTAGCAGTTGGAAAAGCGCCACCAGTGGCTGCAGGAATGCGAGTTCTTGGTGAAAAACAATAAACAAAGATGACTGGCGTGGCCGATACGAGTGCAATAAGTTTGCCTTGGCCGCAATACAGAAGGCACACATCAAAGGATCTTAGAAATTAGAGAGCAGTGAAATGCAGCGTTATGGCAGTCTAAGTACTTATTTCTGCTTTTTAAAAATATTAATGAAAAGAAAAAAACACGTCAAAGATGTATAGGAAATGCATAAAACAACAAGCAATTATTAGATTTTGAAAAAAACTTATATATTTTATATAGAAAATTAACATCGATTTATGAATAATGTACAGATCAACAAGAAAATATATAAAAATATTTTTATTATCTATCATCTCTTCCATTTTATTTTACGTTAGTTAGAAAGCAGTGTAATGGCAATCTAAGTACTTATTTCTTCTAGTTAAAAATATTATTTAAACCAAAAAAAAAATGACAATGATTAAAAGAAAATCTATAAAACAATTAGCATTTTTCAGATTCAAAAACATGTGTTATAACGAAAATTAACGTCAATTTATGTATAATGTACAGATCACAAAACATTAATTGAAAAATATTTTGTTATCTCTTACCTTGTTTATTGTTTATAACGTTAATTTAAAAATTTAAAAATTTTTAAAAATATAAAAACAGCGTATTTATAAAGACTGCTCTGTAAATGAACAGTTCAGCTAATACTACCCCTTATATACTCCCCCAAAAGGCCAAGAAGCAACGAAGAGAAAAGCTAGCAAAAGGATGGCCAGCTGCGGGCATTTGCAATCAGCTTTTGATAAGCAGCAAATGGCCAGTCAAATGATAACGAGTCCGATTCCCATTCCCATTCCACATCCCCATCGATACTCCACTCCTCCTGCGAGCAGGACATAATAACCGAGCTCGATTGGAGGCAGAAAAAGTAGCAGACGATTCGCCGCCGATTGACTTTTATGCCACTTACTGCACTCGAGGGGCAATGCAAAATGGGAAGGGAGTGGGTTGGCAGTGAAAGCCAGCAAAATTAGTTTGGCCTGCGGCTAAAAAGTCAATTTTCATAACAATTTCCGACTCTCATAATGAAGCTTCGGTTTTTGTTGTCGATTTTACTGCGTCAAAGAGCCGGCGAACGCAGAAGAAAATGTGGCGGTAAAACAACCAGGAAAAATACGGTTCTAGTTTTGGGTTCACTTAGGTGAATTTAGTTTTCCTCGTCTACCACAAATTAAAGATAATAGAATAAAATATAATATGAATAACAAATGATCAAAAATACAGAGCAGGTTTTGTTTCCTTACTATAATAACCAAGTACAATCCCATATTAAATATTCCAACTGGATTAAATTCAGATAAAGTAAATATCCCGATTTTGTTCTATGAATTATTTTGGCGTTCCTCATTTGGTTCGCCCATTATTCAAATGCTGGGGGCGTGGCACTGAGCCCCACCCCCCCTGATTTACCGTGCAGCTGCGACTACTGTCACAAGGTTTTCCACGCTAGTTTTTCACTATTTACACACTTTTTTTCTGTTGTTTCGCTGCCTTTATAAAATATGCATTTGCAGCATTATTAAAAATGGAAGGCGCATTGTTAGTGTGTCTCTGCTTGTGTAGCTGGCATTGAAAACAGTGAGGAAAAGTTTTGCAGCTGCAGTTTTCGCTGGCGGCACACGCGGCGTATGGGTAATGTCAGCTCTGCATATGCATAAAAGATTTGGGCCCTGCGTTCGAAATTGCTGCTGCATAATTTCGCATAAATTCCGTTGACATTTTTTAATCTATGTTGGAAGTTTTCGCATGTATCCGCATGCCCTCTTACATCTGTATATAAACATACATATATATTTATTCCACCATTTGCATAAATCCCAATTGCATTGCACTTTTGCCTTCTTCGGTGTCTCAATGGCCAAATAAAATATCTTCGCTTTCGCCGCTCGGCTCTTAAGATGCTCAGCTGGCTGCACTTTAGCCCCCCCCCATCCAACAACTCCTCCTCTGGCTCTCAGGATTCATAAAATGTGTATGAAGCGTGCAAAATGTTTTAAATTTATTACAATAAGACGAGCTGGAGTCGCGTCCCGGGTCCTGGCAAACGCAAATGCGACATAAAACGCTAAAAGATAAAGCAAACTTAGCCAGGATGCACGGAGGAATTCAGGAGAAATATTATGATGGACTTTTGAATTCCCTAAAATGCTCAACTAGCAAAAAAAATTTGGATAGTTGTAGCTATTAATAAAATTCTTGGCAGTCTGTAAATTAAAAAAAATTTTTTTAAATATTTTATATTCATAATTTTTTTAATAAGATATACTTTTTTCCTATGGCTTGTTTTTGGTTTAATAAGAACAATTAAATTTAAGCTTATAAGTTTCTATCTCTCCAACCAAAAAGTGTTTTTGCTTATTATATTAAAAATCTAAAATGAATTTTCTTTTTCCTCTGATCTTATGCAGTTAAAACAAACACTTTTTTGTATAAATTAAATCTAACTATTTTCTTCCTTCTTTCTTTTTAGCAAGGGTATTGTAAACTCATGAATGACGATGGTATAAAAATAACTGAGGGGAGATAGCCATTCCGATTGGGTCTGGCCACTTTTTATGCCCTCCTTAAAGTGCGTCACATAAAAATGACGACGCATGGAAGAATGTGTGTGCACAGGTGACCCCGACCATCCAGCCATCTACCTTAACGCAACCCGACCTTTCGCTTTCTTTTTCTCCGCTCCCGAATGCAATGCGAGTGACAACACTCAAGGCAAGGTGGGTGAAAGTGGGTGGGAAAGTGGGTTGTAGGGTGGAAGCTGATACATGTCGCTTGTTCTGCGTTTATGGGCCAGAGGCAAAAGTGCGTGGGTGTACGTGAGTGTTTACAGGGATCCCTAAAATATGAGAAAGTTCCCTTTATATAACTCCAAAAAGGGGAAGATGACGACAAGGAATTTTAAATTACAAATAAAAAATAGCCATTCTTTATTTGAAGTTTTTTTAAATTAAGAAAAGTTATTAAAGACTTGTGAATATCATAAGGTATGTCAGTATCTGAATATTGAAAATTTCTTTTAATTCTTGTTTTCTAAAAAAAACTAAAAATGCTATGCTTTAATAACATTTAAAAATAGCCTATATATTTTCAAAAGTTCTCATTTTTGGAGAATCACTGTTCCTCATATTTCGGGTTCTATCTTCCTGTTCCATTTGTCTGTTTTCTCTGCGGCTGTTCATCAGTGGCGACTCCGCGTTGCTTCAACTTTTCATCTGCACAACCCTCCCTTCAAACACATTTATTACATTGCTTTTGAGCCAATTTTTTCCGGCCTTTTAACTGAAAAATTGGCACAGCGCATCGCCGGGCATGCAAAGCAGCCGTTTTTTGGCTTTCTTTATTTACCCACCCATTTCTTCCGGGCTCTTTTGCTGTTGTTGTTGTTGGTGCTGCTCCTGGCATTGTCAGTTGGCCACGCGCTCATCCTGACAAGGCTCAGAGGTCGAGGGTTAAGGTTCGGTGGTGTGGGGTCATGGGTCACGGGCCGCGTCTCTGTCAGTGATGTGGTCTGCTTAGCAGCACAGAAATACTCATCGGAATGCCAAAAATCAGACCAACATTTCTTTGACGCACCCTACAATGTATCTCATAATGAAAAACGGTCTTCTTTTCAATGACTTTAATACTTATTTACTTGTTTACAACTTAGATTTAAGCTTTATAAACTTAGTAAACATTTTATTTAATTAGTTTTCGGTCGGATCATCATTGTTGCACGCCTCAAAGAGTTTGTATCTCCATTAAAAGATCCCCAGACCAAGCCCTTTCCATATGTATTATCGCCGTATTTCCCAGCTAGATTGCTAATATGCATATAGATATATACAAAAATATCGTAAGGCATGTATTTAAATAATAAAATATTGATGTTTAAAAAATGTATGGGCATTTTCACTTACCATTCGTGGCATGTTCTGTACCACCAAGCGCCTGTAAAATGTTGCGCACAATGCCGCTTGGTATCTAAGTCGTTTTTACGATCTTTAGTGGAAAACTTCATGCCCATATGATATGTAAGTGAGTCGCCGGTGCTTCCAGATGCAGTTCCCACGGTTTCCAAGGTATAATAATTGCTCTCTGAGCCAATTCTAAAGTTATCGTACAACTGATAGGCCTGCTTTCCCTGCGGAGTTTCCATAACAATCAACAGTTCCTGCTGCTGATAATTGGTCATAGCATACAGTTTGTCCAAACCCAAGAAGTACTCATTGTTCACACTGCCAAATCCATGCTTGTAATCATTCCATTCGCGGTAAAAGTCTTCACTTCCATCCCTTCGGCGCAAAATAATAGTCCAACCTCCTCCCATTCTGTACTGATCGCAAGCCACTTCAAAGGGTTTTTCGCTGTACTCCGGCACATGTATCGTACGAATGGAACTGTTTTGTGAGCCCCCCAAAGCTTCATAACAGCTGGTGGGTAACAGATCGACTCTATTTAGAAAAGTGTTAATTTTGTTGTCCAAGTCTTCCAAAATGTTTGCTTGGCGCTCTTGCTCCACACTAATGGTTTCCATGGAAAAATATAAATGGATGTGGTAAAAGATATTTGGTTAAATACATACCGAATTGGATACAATTGCGAATCAATCGATTCAACATTGTTACATATCGTGTATAAAGAACACACTTGCCTTGCAACTTGGCTGGCCGACGCTTTTAAAGTTAACAGCGAAAATATTATTCCCAGTAGCATCGTTCAGGGAGTTTTATAAAGACTGAGCAAAACTTTGTAAAATCTTGCTATATATAGTTTATGTGATTAGTTAATAGCTATGTCTATTGTACTTATCACTTAAATAGAATAGCTCGTTTAATTTATAGTTTAAGTGATAAGATGGGTTCTTTTAATTGCTTTATTTATAAGCACTGAATTTACGTTAGAATTAGCTTCATATAAGCCTTTGGTCTGATCAATATAGTATATATTTGCAGAGATAATAATAGGTGATACTTACGATTATCGATTACGATTATCTTATCACAAAATCGAATCGGATCGGATAAGAGATAATTTAGAGTGGATGTCATAACGCCTGCACGGGTTTTCGTCTCTCTTTTGGTGAACCTTATGACAGTTATGAAAATATAAAAGTGCCCGGAGTTTGGAAATATAAGATATAGCATATATTAATGTTTTTATAATAATATTAGTAAAATAAGTAAAATTAGTGACAAGCAAAGTTACCCCCTTGTTTTCCCATAGCACGCTTATGTGAAGGTAAAAAATGTTCCTTGGCAAATTTGATCAAAATAAGAGTTGCATACCAAACACTGGGCGTTAAGACTTGCATCAGATACACTATACTACTTATTAAAGGACTTTAAGTACAGTAATATTTATATATATTCGACATTAAATCATGAGTCGGTTTTATTTCGGGTGACCACAGATTCGGTATGTACACCAATCTTGATCTCAATCAATGCTCAGCTTAATCCCAGTCCCATTCTAGGGCATTCTTATTGTTCATCATTAAAGCTTGTTCGCTTGACCACTCACTTTCACTCTCGAAAGCCCATTGAAGTGTGCTCAAAATCAATTAATGGCTTGTCTTCTCCTTCAAAGTTGGGTTTTCGGCCAGAGGGAAAGATTCACGCATGGCTTATGCGTGTGTCAAGTGCAAAACAAACAAAATTTAAGCCCAATGGACCAGTGACCCAAAAGGGGCAAATCAATTTCAACATCCTACTGAGCTTTGATTTTCGTTCACTTTGATAATAAGATCAAAACATCCGATGCACGAATAGTTGATTCGGTTCAGGTTAAGTCAATATTTGGCTCGTTTTGAGCTGGACCACAACACACGCACACAATTTTTTATGCCGCATTGCTCGGATGGGCCTTGGATTTTCACCCTTGTCCATTTTTCTGGGATTCCCCCCAACTCCACTGGCATTGTTCTGTTGTTTGTCTTGGTTCGCTGAGTAGCCGCAGAAATTTCATTAAGTTCATCTTGCTGCCAGTGAGGATATGACAAAGGGAATGGGTTAAATGGAAGCCAAAACGACCCCGAAAAAGTATGCAAAAGTGCACAAGGGAGGGCAGTGTCTCGTGAGATATATTGTGTCTCTAGGGAAGACGAAGTGCAATTTTATAAAGTTGCAAGGAGAAATGCAGAACTGGGGGCAAGAATGAATAATAAAGTTATTTCGAAGAATTTTAGTTCGAAATATTAACTGTACGATGTTTAAGTCTTTGCCAAATGCGGTTACATTTGCAATGGTAAACGTGATAATTAAATTTAAAAAATCAATATTATTATTAATAAATTTTAAGTACACTGATAAAAACAATTAGTAGTACAAATCAATATGGACATATTGTAATCAAAATTTCGTATTAAAATTTTATAAAATACAAAAACACATATTTCAATGGAAATCAAATTACTTTAAAAATATTTCAATGTAGGCAGAAAATATGTGATACTATTTTATTTCTTTCTGCGTATTTATAGCAGTGTATAAAATAAACGATTTCAATTTATTTTAGAATTTCAAATTATACTTTTTTGTTCATTTGAGAACTGTTACTTGAGCATTATTTTAACTAGAACTTTGAATATGAACAAGATAGGATGTCCGGAATTCAAGCAACTCTTACATGAAATTTTCTTGTATCTCCTAAAATTATCATCCACCTCCCTCGAATTTCTTTAAAATCGCTCAAGTTTTCCAGAATTTCGCACGGCACTCATTAAACATGCCGAATCCGACACGGAATCACAGCCGGAATCCAAATCCGGCTCTCAAATGCGGCCAACTGTTGCTGTGACTCAGCTGGGGACTTGCTGCAGTGACAGGTCGCACTTTTGGACCAATTATACGGTTTGTTAACACACAAAACAGGCAAAATGTAATTAAATTTTCAGCTGAGAGCGGAGCCAGAAAGGCGGCGCCGTCTTTTGAAATCCGATTTAATATTGTTAACTGTGTGCAAAACTTTGTCATTCCATTTTGCCAATTTCGCTGGGGAAGGGATTGGGAATGGGAATGGGGAGTACTGGATGCATGCAACAAGATAGTAGTATGCAAATGTTGGAGACGTTTGGCAAATGCAAATTGCAATTGCAGCCCCCACCAACTAATGCAATTCTGTGTATACCTCCCCCCTTTCGCCAGCCGAATTCCCCCGCCACAATGCCGCTTTAATGCCCTCCAACTAATGAGCCTACATTAAGGAAATTCGAGAACGCAGCAATTTCGGAGGCGCCACCTGCTGCTGATACACTGAGATTAAAGGAAATAGATTGTAGGAAATTAAACTAGTTTAACTATATATAATTTATTTATCTATCTACTTATCAAAATATATTATAACTTTTTACCAAATATGGAATTATACAAAACAGTAATGGCCATTTTGGGTATTGCTGGAATGCGTATGTTGAAAAAATTAAATAACATATAATACGAAGTTTCTTATAAAAGTAAAATAATAATAAATAAAAAAAACCTTTCAGTTTTTAACCCAGAAATAGTATATATTTTATTTCTTCTTTAATATAAGTTAAAATTTGTTTTCCGTGTACCAGTCAAAGACAGCTTAGCGAGGGAGAGTATTGCAGTTTGTCACGTAATTTATTAAAATGCTATACACATACATATATGGAGGGGGCGTGGCCGTTCGGGAATGGGCGGTAGGTAGAGCTTAGAGGTACAATTGGCATAATCATCGTTATACCATCGTCATAATCAGCGCTGCCATTGTGTATGTCTCGGCAGCAGCTCATTGATTTGCAATTATGGAACGTGCTACATTTGGTGAGGCGGTGCGGATATCATTCCAATCCTTACGATGGAAGGGGGTTTTCCCACTTATCCTCCCCTTTTTGCGGTTTAATTTAAAGCCACCTTGCCGATTATTCGGCAATAAAACCATTAAATTGGTCGCACTTGTCTAGGTAATCGAATTAAATTGCTTAGGTGAGTTTGCTGCTTGAATTTAATATGTGTTGTTGCTTAAGCTCTAATCATAATTTAATCTCATTTGCTTGATTTTAGCATTTATGTTATATATTGTCTACTTTTTGGAATTTATTGGAATTTATTTAAGTGTCTCGGAATGGGTAATTATAAGTAAATTTATTTATTTCGTTAACATATTATGATGTCAATGTTTTTATGCAACCAAAACTTATTTTATATTACTCTTTTTAAATTTCAAAGATTTATATTCAAATATTTTAAGGTTTGAAGCTTCCTCAAGCTTAAACTTTAATTTCATAAATTCGTTTTGCTTTCCGTGGCTTTTTGTCGCCATATTACAATGGTTAATTTTATTGCTCGCTTTTATTGTTGTAATTTTGTGAAATCTTCGCCTGGTCTCTGCGTTTTTTTCGCTGCTCCTGCTTTCTTATGTTAAAAAACTTTTGCAATTGTGTGCGACTCGCTATCTGCGTCTTCATTGTTGTGTCTGTGTGTGCGGGTATAAAAATTAGCCTCGTTTTGTTTGGCTTTTGTGCTCCGCCTGCCATTTTGTAGAAATGCGGGGGAGGTGGCCCTGCAGTAAATCAAAAGTTGAAAATTATAATAAAGTCACTTTTGCTGTTGCTATATCATGAGGCACCCTCCCCAAAAGCCCACAAGTTCCTGCCACCCATTCTATCTCCATCTGTCTCTGCTCAAGTTTTATCAAGTTCAGTTGCAGCGGCAGCCACAAAAAACTTATTTCCTCCTGCTGGTGTGGCCAATAAAAAGCCAAAACAATTTAGATTAACTGTAAATTGTGTTATTTTGTTTAGCCAGTGAGTGGATTTGTCGTCCTTGTTGCCGTAGTTCTTGTTAATGCTCTTTTAAGCTGGTAATTTGTGAATGCCCTGAAAAGTAGGCAACACTTTTGTGAGCCGAGCTAAAAAGGAAGTCTATACAAAAGTCCACCCGCCATATAAATGGTAAAAATCATCTGGCAAGGAGGGCGTGGAGGCGACCAGCAGCTGGCACTGCTATAAATAATGCTTGAATAATTACAAGGAACATGAACAAGCTGATTTTGAATGGGTCGAAAAATATGAATCAAACTAAAGCACAGAGGGTTGCTTTCAAAATGAGTAACAAATTAAATAAATGTATAATTATTTAACTTTTTATACATGTAACTTTTATACAGCTAAAGGTAGTGCGCGGGATTCCGAGATGGCACAATATATTTACTTATAACATGTTAATGAATGGTCCAATTTAAACCATTTTTGGTATGGAGATGGGTTTTGATAATGAGATCAAAATCCCTTTTACACTAATAGAAAATATTAAAAAATGTGGGTGCTAGATGTTAGAGTGGGCGTGGCACCTTGCTGATATAAACTTGCACTGCGCAAGAACCTCAAGAATCTGCATTCCAAATCCCAACTTTCTAGCTCCTGATCAAGAATATGCATGCATTATAGGGTCAGAAACGCTTCGTTCTACCTGATATATACTAATTTTTACGAATCTAGTATAACCTTTAACTCTACGAGTAGCGGATATAAAAGGTACTTATAAATTAAATAAAATGTTCAACTGAAAAAAGTTATTGTTTAATGAATTAAACAAAGAGCCCTAACCAAAAACAACAGATGTTAAACACAAAATAATCTCATTGATATTCTCAAAAGATCTTTAGTTATTGTGCCTGCCTTGTACTTTTCGTTATCTAACTCTTTAAGCGCCCCTTGGTAGTTTTGCATTTGAAAATGGGGGTCTTGACTTCCGTCAATTTCTTGGACTTCCTCCCCCGAATCTCCGACTTGCTTGTCCTGTGACATTTGGCTTGCTTTCGGGGCTGGTCCTTTGTCTACGAAATCGGTTGAAATGGCCACTCAATGCGCTCTGTTAATTTTGCTCCACAAATGAAACTGGGACTCTGTGCAAGGGCTTAGGCCGAGCTATCACTAAATGCGCTTGAATTATTTATAAAAGGCATATTCATGAGCACTGGCGCACTACCAACCAGCAAGGTAAGTGGGTGACTCTGAGTCCGGGGGATTCGGAATTGGAGTGGGAACGGAACCTGGGGAAACGGAAATGTTAACTAGTTTGAGCAGAAGCGATGCTGCTTGACAATGGCATTAGAATGTCGAAAAGTTTTAGCCCGGCAACCGCTTACTCACTCAATTAGCTCGGTCAGCTCTCAAGCTTTTTATGCAAATCTCGGTGGGCGGTAAAATTCGCAATGGGGGCGTGGCAATGAGAGCCATTAGATGGTACATCAACTGTACATTAACTTGTCTGTTTTGGTTTCATTAGCAAGGACAGCAAGAGGGGAACACTGAGAAAAATATAATAAAATATATTAGGCAGAACTAAGGACACACTGCTGTAGATATTGAATTAAAATATTATACAATTGTCCTTAAATAATATTTTTCCTTTTTAAGATTAAGGCTTAATTTATTTTTATAATAATAATTTAGGATTTTGTATTGGAACTATTAGATTGACATATAGTATATGAGCTAAAAAATTAGTACCAATATATCTTTTATGTTAGGAAAGAGTTCGGTATTAGTAGGTAATAAGGGTAATTATTTCTTTCAGCCTTTAATTATCGAAGTTAACAAATTATTTGCCAAGTGTAGGTGACTGTGGGAGTGAGAGTAGGACCTAGGACATATCCTGCGGCTTCTAAAGTCTCAAGTCCTGGCAACTTGACAGCGGCAGCCTCCGTCGAAGCTGCAACAGCAGGAGGCGACCACAAGCCTTTAACAAAAGCTGGCATCGACCAAAGGCGAAATCGAGGCAGAAACAATAGGGGAACAGGGCGAAATTGCGAAAATGTTATTTGGCTTTTGCATATGGAACGAATGATGATGGCACTTTCAGTGGATTGCCTGAATATCGAGTGCGTATGAAAGACGAACTGCACAAGGCCAAAAGAAGCAATAAAATAACAAGAAATATGGCCAAGCGATGAATGGTCGTAGGTGCACTGAAAGTGCAAGGTAAATAACCAAAGAAAAGGAGAGGAATGAAATGGAAAGGTGGATCAACTTTCAGGAGCCCTGGGAATAAATTAAATTGTTTAAGAGGTTGTGTCAGCTGAAGGATAACAGAACCTTTTGTTTAATTCGATGTTTAAGTATATATAAGTATAGAATATTTTTTAATAATTTTAAAGACACTCTATATGAAACAAAAACACGTTTTCTATTTGTTTATTAATTATTAATCTGTTTTCTTAATTAGTTACATATATCGATGGCGAAAATCATTTAAGTGCTGTAATTTGTTGATCAATCAAAAAGCGAGTGGAGCTTTTGAATCTTTACGCATCGCTGGCAAAGGCAACAACGGAAAGTATGGAAAATGACGTTTCTGGCGGACATCACTCAATCTCCCCTCGGATCACCGCCCACCGCCCCCTTTTGGCTTTGTGCGTGTGACATATGCAAATATTTATGCATCGCTCCTTTGGCTTCGCTTTTCCCTCCCCGCATCACTCGCGTTTCCCCTGTACAGTTGTGCATGAAATTATGTAAATTCTTTGCATCCACAATTGAAGTCACAATAATACTGATCTGTATTCCAAACATGTCTTGATAAATTACGTAGCCCTTAAGTTTCATACAATAAGGAATGATTAAAGGGGAAAAGAATATACATGAATAATAGCCCAAAATTAGAACTATACACACAAAAAAATTTGGTTGATAAAATTGACCAATGCAGATAGTTTAGTAACTATAAAAACATTTACTCTACTATTATTTTTTCCTTTTTGTACTATTTAAAAGTAAATCCCATATTAACATAAGTACATACGTTCTTGTTGTGTGTGTATTTTGTTATTGCAATAGTAAATAGTTCATTAACTATCAAAAATCGTTATCCTAACATAAAATCGAACTATAAAAAAATGTATTTTACTATTTAAAATGTTTGTATTTGTATTTGTTTTTGCTTTGCTTACTATTCAATAGTAAATCCACTATTAACATAGTTAGGATGAGTGTATTTCCTTATTGCAGCAGTAAATAGTTGGTTTACTATCAAAAATAGTCACTCTAACGTAAAATCTCCTACACAAAAGTATGCAATAATACTTTTTGCAAATTTTCTCAAACGTGTTTTTTATAATTCTCAACTGGGTCTAGCGTCTAGTACTAATTTTATACTAATTTTAAGAACCGTAAAACCCTCTATAAACTCCTATAATTTTGGCCCCGCCTGTGTGTGTTTGTTAAAAACAAATACACTTGCACAGTGGCAAAGGCAGGGCCATAAAAGTTAAGTAAATATATAAACACACATCGGCTTACGCTTGCCTGCCTGTCGGCCTCTTTATTATTGTTGGTTGTTTGGTGTTGTTGCTCGCGTTGTTATTGATACACGTGAAAATACATATATATTTATTTATATGTATATATTGCATACATATATATCTTTACACACGTAAATCAAAATGTTTGTAAGTTGAGTAAACAACATTGAAAATCAGTTATGTTTTACTGCATTATAAACTACCCAATCAAGGACCCCGTCCACTTTTGACCCCTCTGCACTTTCTCCATGGTTTCGAAAAACATGAATTTCTCTCACATATTTTTTGCACCGACCTTTTGGGTAATTTTTACGATAAATTGCGCGTGAATGATGCATAAATCAAATAAAGTTGAGGTGCATTATATACTAGTGTGCGTATGTATGCGGCTCTGTCAAATATATCAACCGAGTGGAAATTTACATAGCATACTTTTTGGGTCCATCAAGCTATGAGAAAAATGAGAAGCCAGAGAAATATGCGCATGCATATTTAACCACGATTTAAGTATAAATTTCATAAAAATGTAGCTTGCTGCAAAAAGTATCAATTTGGATTGACGGAATTAACGGGTTTAATTTGACAGCCAAGTCAAAGAGCTTTATAAATTTAAAATGTAACCCAAAAGGCATATATAATTGGTTAATATATTTAAATCAGCGACTTTTTATGTTTATGATTGTAATGAAGAGAGGGATTACTAAGGAAAATAAAATTAAGGTATTTGTATGAGTGATATTTTAAATTATTTAATATTATTAGAGAATTGGATTAAAAATAAATGAATTGTGTAGTTTAATCTTTACTTTATGTAAAATAAATATTTTTATAGGATATATATATTTTTTTTGATTTTTGCGCTTTTTACAGTGGCTCAAACTGACTCTTTATTTATCTCAATAATCCATAAATATTTGTCGCCAATTCAGGGGGCTCATTCGATCGGATCTATTCGCTCCCGGTTCATATGAAAGTAGACCAGAGAAATCACAAATACGGCTAATCCAATGAGTCCGCACCAGAAGCCAAAGGATCCGCGGTTGAAGCCATCGCGGTAAACCTCGCAGATATCGCCGCCAACAATGAGATTCAGCTTGTCCCTCACGCCAGGTGCCCCAGCCATAGAGTATCTTTTTTCCGGTACCCCCAATTTGAGCCACAAATTTTGAAACATTCCAGAAGGTCGAGAGTGATGTGTGGGCCAAGGGCTCCTGGGATTCGGATTATTATTATTATCACCGCCTACCGAAAAAGTCGCCTAACAATGATGAATCATTGTGGTGGGCAACAGGATGCCTGCAACATAATTGAATTTAGTGCTAATGATGGCATTGACGAGAGCACATAATATTCGACATTAATTCAAGCAGACATTAATTGATTGATTATTTGATTGCATTATTGTCAATTTGACAATTGCAATTTGGTCGGTCCGCTTCAACGGGTCGGCCTGTGTATCTGTATCCTCGTTGTCAGTCGAGCCTGACACATTCGCGATACTGAATGTTTGTCATCGGGCAACAACATTGATAATAATAATTTAGCACAATTTACATGATGACAGCCATAATTAATCGATGCAACCGTGCCTCCAAACAGGATTCGAATGTGTACGTTTGAAATTGGGATTGTTATTGGGACTTAAATTGTAAAGGGACTGATGGAAATATTTTTTGTGTGTTGCTTTTACAGATATTTCCCTCCTTGTTTATACCAAATGGATTATAAATAATCATGTTTATCGTGGGAAAAATATTAGCGTCTTTTTTAAAGTTTGTCTGTGCGAAAATAATATTTGAAACCTTCGAAATATTTGTTTAAAAGAGTTTGTGCAACCTAAAAAATAAAGATTTCCACTTATTCTCCATACCTTTTCATATTAACTTACTGACCTACGTGCAGCAGGTGAGTATTTGACTTAAGAGCCAGATAAAACTTACATTTTGCCAAGGAAAAGGAGAAGAGAAATATTTAATTTACATTTAACTTCTCGTTGTGCCCCTTTCCACTTGGCAATTATATAGCCCGGGGAGATTCTAAGCGAAATTTTTGTGCGCCCTGCAATTATACAAAAATTCATCTTGGTCTCGTTTCTTTCTCGTATTGCATTATTCATGGGCCGGGGCTAAGCAAATTAAAAGCCAGCTTCCCCGCCCCAGCTGGCCAAATAATTGTTTGAAGTTCGCTCTTGGCCTGGCCTGTAATCTGCCGCAGTTTTGGCCACTAATTTCGCCTTGAGACAAAACCGCCTACCAAAAAAGAGTACTCCGCAAGCACTAAGCTCAATTGAAATTGCTTCTGGGATAGTGAGGGGGGAAAAATAAATTCTGGGTATGCCGTAGAGTAATTGAAATATTGGCAGTGAGCTCAACTCGTAAATTATGCACTCGAAACCAAGGAAGGAAAAAAAACCAAGGAATACCCACAACAGTTGGCTGTGCAAACTAAAGATGGAGAAAGAGCCAACTTTCCCTGAGATTCTCTTTAATTTATAATTTATCAGTTTTGTGCTTTTGATGCTGTTTTTTGGCTGCCCAACAAGCAAACTTTGATTGCGGTAATTAGCAAATTGTGCAACTTCCTCAAGGGACACGCCCCCAATTACATTTTCCACCTGGAAGGAAAAGCGGAAAAACAAGACTAAAAAAAAAACCATACATTTATAAAAATTTAGTATTATATATAAGAGCTGTGAAACTTATCTATCTTGAATTTGTAAAGTTATAAGTAAGCCTACTTCTTAAACTACAATTTATTTTTTGTTGGGGAAGTGGGAGGCTAACTAAAGTCTGGTGAAAAGGGTAAACCAATTTGCCAAGGCCCCTGGAATATCTGTCTGAATATATGTATGTATATCCCACTATGAAATTGCCTATGTGGCAATATAGTTTCCTGCCATTTAGCTCCTGCAGCAGAAGAGGATATATATATATTTTTTTGGTTACCACCCGCCTGGCTTTTATTATTGTTACTTTGAGGCTGGCACAATCCAATGGCCAACCCCTGCTGCTTTTTTGCCAGGTGAAAACCTAAGCCAAGCAAACATACAAAAAAGTGTTAGTATGCTCAGCGCGACACTAGCCACCATATAGCAACCCCAAACCACTTCCCCCCCCTTTTTTGTGGCCATCAAAAAATGTCCTTTTAGCAGAGGACACACACACATGCGTATGTAAAAATTTCCGACGTGATGTAAATTTCTATTGAATGCTGAATGGGCAGAAAAAATATTTTTAATGGTCTTTTGGGCAGGCAAAGCGAAGGGGATCCGGAATTCAGGATACAGGGACAAAAGACCAGGAACCGAAGGCCCATCAGAATGGTCGACAGTTGAATGAATTGTCGGTCGAATCGGTGGGACAGGTGTTATCCTGTGGTCGGGCACCCACAACCACTCTACATATGCCAACTGTTCAACGGCCTGCTTATTTGCGGAATAATAATCAGGATTTGAACTGAAAGCTTGCAGTTTGAGATGGAATTGGAAAGAAGGGTTCAAACAGTCAAATATAGTTTGGTTTTCCGATTGTGTGGTATAATTGCATTCAGGTTTATTGGTCCAATTTGCACATATTGGAGTTTCTTAAGATGACCCAAAGAACAATTTATTATGATGAGTTAAAGTTAGATCTATTTAAATACTCAGATATGATTAGACTTCATTTCATTTTATATTAAATGTATAGAAAATTTATATTAAATAACAAAAAATTATTCTGTTTAACTGCAACTATTCCGCTTACAAACACGCAAAAACGATAATCCCATCTAAAATATGTGCAATAAGCGTTCAAACAACTTTGAGGACCCAATTTTAATGGAGAACAAAAACATATGTCGCCAAATCTATCAATGCCAAAGCAGAGCAATCAATTTATCCGATTTTCCCGCCACCATTTTCCCATTTCCGTCACTCAAATAACACTTTAAACCATTTACGTTTCGTCATAATTGCAAATTCCGTTATCAGATCATCACGAATAAACACACACAGAGACTGGCACACGGAAAACATGACCTTTATCAAATCAAACTTAATTCCCATGAAATCCGCATCAACTGCGTGCAACATCGTTGACCTTGCGCCCCCCATACAAAGCAGCCTCAGCTAAAAACCAGTGAAAATTCCACACAATAACAGCACAAATAAATCGAAAAAGATAGGGCAAAAACAGAGAAACACAGCGTGACATGTCATTATTGGGGCTTTGACAGGCAAATTCCAAAATTCAAATATTCCAAATCGAAGCGATTTTCCGAGGGGGGAAAGGAAAGGGAGGGGGGGGGGGGGGTGGAAAATGGGGATCAGTGTCCGTGTGTATTTTGTGGAACTCTGAGAAAATATTTGAATATGTATGGCGTATTGTATTTTTGCATAATTTGGCATGTAAAACATTTACAACACCAATGCAAAACGAGATGAAAAACGTGCTGTTGGGTCAGAGGAGGAAAATTATGGAAATATTGCATCATGTGCCGCATGCCAGGAAAATTGTGCGGCTTTTCTATTTTGATTGCAGTTGATTGTTGTTGCGAGCAGAAATACCCTGGTGATTGTGACTGCCAAGGGTAAAGGGTATATTATTTTTCCCTCCGCAGAATCGCATTTAAAATGCATTGACCTGGAAAGCTAATAAATCCCTTGATAGTTTGTGTAAGCCAAGAAATATTTTATAAATTTGTTAAATAATATTGATGTTTCAACTTAATTATATTAAAAGTTTGTATTTTATTAGAACAATACATAAATATTAGGTACCAATAAAGTTGTACTCTTTTTTATAGGCAATTGCCCTCGAATATCTAGGATGCAATGGATTTTGCACGTACCTAGACATCTTGTATTGTGGCTGCATTATAATTATGTATACATATATGCACGCCAAATAAAAAATATCAAATATGGATTGCATGGGCATTATACACAGCGTATTCGTACAGAAATGGTTCAGTTTTTACCTATCCCACGGCGAGCTCGTTGTTTATGTTTTGGTGTCAGGGAGCAAAGTGCAGTGGGTTCTGTATGCAAATATGCCAAGTTTAGAATGCGATTTCGAGTGTTTTGCCTTCTTGGCGTGGGTAAAATATTGGGCATAAATATAAAGCCAAGTAAGGTCAAAAAATAAAACCATTAACCAAATCAATTTCTTACTAAAGAATCCGTATTGCATTCCATCAATTAAAATAATTTAAATATATATAGTCATAATATATAAAATGTATATATATCATATAAATAGTTTCTCACCTTTTGCTTATGAAACGCACTTTATAAGCCTTCTTACCTTCGCTTCTTGTCAACTAGCTCACACATTTATCTTGTGCGAGCATTTTGTTGTCATATTTATTTATCAACAGGCAACAGAATGCGGCAAACTTCTTTGGCGTCATCTCAAAGCGGCGTAACAAAATAATTCCATTCTCCCCCCGAAATTTATGTCAGCTTAGATATGTACTGCGCATACAACCAAATGTGGAAAATCTCCGTGTAATCTGTGGAAAAGTATGTTCTCAACCTTACGAAAATTGAAGGTGAACAACTCAGCTTAAAGTTGTCTTCGTCTTTTGTTTATTTCAATAAAAAAGCAATTTAGAAAACCACGTTCTCTTGATCTGCGACAAAAAATTCCCCCTTCTTATTCCATGTCTACCTGAGTTATGCAAATATCTATGGCGTAAGCGAAAAGTGCGTCTGTCATATGGGTCATAAAAGCTTTTTATTGCTCATTTGACAATATGGCTGCACCCGGGCTCCGCCTCTTTTGATGCCAAATCTAAATAATTTGGCAATTTCGTGCTGATTTTATTACAAGCCACAAAAGGGCAGACATTAAAAGGTACCTTAAAAAATACCAGCCAGCCAAGAACACGAATTCCCAAGAGGCCTGGCCATGTCGATAAGGTTTGATTAAAAATTTTCCCTGTCATACATGGCGTATGAGTAATCTGCTCAAAATGCAATGTACATTGAGGCCATTTGTTTAATAAGTTGAAGGTGTTGTAAAAAAGTATTTCTTTAATACTCTTAAAAATCATCTGGATGATTACTAAAATCAACCTATTATTAAATTAGATATTTTTTTATTATTTCAGAATATATGGAAATGTTTGAAACAGATACGGAAAAGGTTTACATAAAAAACAAACGCCCCGTAAAATCTTGTCTAGACTTCAGATCATTTTAAAGCCTTTAAACCTGACATTTTAT